CCTGCTTCAGCATCCCAGTTGGGACTACAGGTGCCTGGTTCTTTTTTAGACAGAGTCTCCCTATCTTGCCCAGGCCAGACTCATATTCACAATCCTTCTGCCTCAGCCTCCTGAGTTGCAGGATTTATAGGTACATATCACTGTTGCAATCCTTCTGCCTCAGCCTCCTGAGTTGCAGGATTTGTAGGTTCATATCACTGTGTGTGGCCTGTGCGTTGGATCTGGAATCACACCTGGGCCTCCGTGTGGTCCCAGCCTGAAGAGCACAGCGTCTTAGCAGTGCATGCCTCGCTGAGCTGGCCCCACTTGCTAATCTTTATTAAATCTTCTAAAGGGAGAAATGTATTTGCTATAGGAATGAGAGTCATCCCATCCCGCAGGTTCCACTAGCGTGCCACAGGGAGGGGGGGGAGCCTGACTTTTGTTTCAGTCATCGTAGACACTTAGGAATATATCAAAATTGTCAGCTCTCGGGAACCAGCATAATGGCTATGTCGCTGGGTTCCCATGTTGTCGACTGCGGTTCGTGTCCCAGACCTGGTGGCTTAGAACTCACACCTGGCACGTGTGCGTGTGTGCCCAAGATCCCGAGAGGAGAATGGAGGAGAAGGGATTGCGGCGTGACCATCCCCCCTGGGGGGTGATTTCTCGCTTTCTGTCTCTATGTCTCTCTCTGTCTGTCTGGTGAGCGCACGCGCCCTATAGCGAAAAAAACCTCTCAAAAAAAATTGTCAGCTGTCTGCTACTTTGGGATGAATACTTTATTAACAAACATGTGGTTGCCTACTATGTGTCATATGCTGGAGCGAAGACCTAGAGATAAAATGTTGAGCAGTACTCATTGGGTTCCTATTTCAGAGAGCTTACCATCCTATGAAAGAGACAATCAAATGATTGTACACACACATGATTAGGAACCAAGTCATTCTACACAACAGAAGTCCAGAATACAGTAAGAATCTATTACTATCAAAGGAAGAGTTGAATGGGAGCTACCTGGTATTAAAAAACAAATGAGTTAACTACAAGAGGGAGTGGAGAACGATGAGAATTGTGGGCACAGAGACAGCGTACAGAAAGGCCACAGGTGTAAAGGAGTGAGGTGTATCCAAGACCATGAGAGAGTGCTGGTGTAGCTGGAGGATAGAAAGGGAGAATGCCCCTGTCAAGGCTGAGGAGCTGGACAGATGCTAAATCCTTCAACATGTCATAGGATACTTTAAGAACATTGGTCTTTTAAAAAGTATATTTTCTTTTAGTTTTAATAAGACAAGCCACAGGGTTTTTTTTTTTCTTCAGTTTTTCCTATAGGGCATACACATGAAAGAGAGAGAGAGAGAGAGAAAGTGAGAAGTTATGAATTTTCCCCCCGGGGTGATGGTCACTCTGCAATACCTTCTCCTCTATTCTTCTCTTGGGATTTTGACCATGCACACACATGAGCCTGGTGTGATTTTCAGGCTACTGGGTCTGGGACTCAGACCAAGACATTGTCCATGTGGGATTCAGCATCTTAACCACCATGCCACCAACTGGCCCCTGTTGGTCTTTATTTTAAGTGCAGCGTGCATAAGGGTACTGACAAGGTCTTGTGTGGAAAATGATCTGGAGAAGGTAGAGGAGACCAGGGAGGAAACTGTTATTACCCAGGTAGGCAGATGAGAGAAGACAGTGGTTTGACCACTATGGTAGTGGTGGAGGAGAAGGGCAGGGGACACTTGCCAAAATTATTTGGGGTAAGAAATTGAAGGGCTTGGTAATACGTTAGCTCTTGGGCTTGAGGGAGAGGAAAATGTCAGATAACTCTCAAGTGTCTTTCCTGAGCCATTGGCTAGAAGAGAAAGCTCTGTACCAAGATAAGGAACGCTTTCCTCTGCTGACTTAATTATAGTTAAAATGTTGATATAAATAAAAAATCCTGAGCTAAAATATGTCTTTTTCACAAATTATCACATCCTGTGGTTTGACACTGTCCTTAGGCCAAGAAAAATAGCTTAATGCTTAGCTGGTTTTGCTGTTTTGAATTCCAGAACACATCCAGAGGGAGGGCCACTGCAGGATGACTCTCCAGGCTGACTCAGCACACGCATTAGGCTCCAGCAAACTGAACCACGGTGACCATGGGTAGCTAAAGCTGCAAACAGAGGAGCCATGGATGGAGGGGTGATACTTTATGTAATTCACAGTAAAAACACTTCTCAACAGAGAAATGCAAAGCTTAATAGTGTGCTAATTTTCAAAGACCTTCTCCCTAGATTCTAAGATTGCACACGTGTGGATAACCTACCAAAATGCAAATTTTCTAAAAATGTTTAGTTTGTATGTGTATGTGTGTGCTTTGTTGCTGTTTTGTGATTCTTCTGCCTCAGCCGCTCAAGTAGCTGGGATTACTGGTGTGTGCTTTTTGGGGTGAGCTAAGAATCAAACAGGAGCTTCCCACGTGGCCTCAGTCTTGCTGAGTAGCAGCGTCCAGCATATACCATTGTGGCTGGACCTATACTACATGTTAACAAAATATATCTCTGCTTTCTTCCACTAACGTTTGCTATTTGTTTGTTTGTTTTACTCTCTGCCGTCATTCATCAAGGAATTGGCACCCAGGCCCTAGAGAAATTTATGGTTGAGAGTGTAACCTGGGTTTGTTCCACTAAAGAACATTACTTTTCGTTTTTCTCTTTCCACTCCATAAAACAGATTAAGGGTGCTATCCCATGGCCTGGTGGTTATGGGAGCTGGATTTCACATGGCCAGCTGCATGCTTTGAGTCCCGTATTTGGTGGCTTGTAAAACAGTGGTTATGGGAGCTGGATTTCACATGGCCAGTTGCATGCTTTGAGTCCCATATTTGGTGGCTTGGAAAACCACCTGGGAACTTGAGTGTGCATGCTCAAAATCATGATGGCAGGAGAAATGGAAGAGAAGGGATTGCTGTGTGATCTTTCCTCATGGAGAATGCTTTCTCCCCCCACCCCTGTCTCTGTCTCTATCTCTCTATCTCTGGTAAGTGTATGTGCCCTCTGGAAAATTCAAAACAAAACAAAACAAAACAGATTGAGAATCACTGTAGATGATAAAGAAACTCTGAACCATTCAGAGTTTTAAATATTTCTGGATAAAAATGGGTTACTTTTTTCCCCCTATGAATTCTTTTGCTTAATTTGTGGAAAAGAGCTACTTGTATTTTCTGAAGCCCTGAAATCACCATGTCTGGGGCTCAGGAGATTGAGGGATTTAGGATGGATGTGCGAGCATTCTCCTTATACACTCTCTTCTCATTTGAGCTGTCTGTGCCCAAGCTCATGCCTGGGAGCCTAGTTTCCTCTTTCAGCCAGGAGGGAGATGCAAGTTTGTGAAGGTGTGGAAGACTGCAGTCTGACCTTCACAATTTTCTTGTTTTATTACATCCTTACTTTTCTCATTAGAAGTAAATTGTATAATTAGCAGTGAAAGGATTTACAGATTGAAAGAACTCTGCATTCTTAAGAATATTTTGAGGAAGTTAGGGCTGTGGCATTTTGAAATGTACATTTTTAAATGCATTATGACATTTAAAAATCATTAATCTTGTTGAGTATTCTGAAGACAAATAAGCTTTCTCCCAGATCAAACTGGGATAATATAATAACTATAAATAGTTATAGCCCCAAATAAATCTGTTTATAAATTATTTAACACTGACTAAATCTCTTGTTAAGATAGCCAGCCCCTTTAAAGGATAATAACTATAATTTTATATATTTATTATATAATGGTGTGCAGAGTACTGCAGAAAAACTCGAGTGTTATGTAACAGATGCCGTTGGATTGTAGAATTCGACAAATCATGATTTGGACCTACGTATCTGCCAGCACTAAAGTTATGTGCGTGTGTCTATTTGAAAAGAGAAAGAAAGAGAGTGTGTGTGTGCATGTGTGTGTGTGTGTGTTGAGATTTTTTGCTATAGTGTGTGTGCACTCATCAGAGAGACAGAGAGAGGCAGAGAGACAGAAAGTGAGAAATCACTCCTGGGGGGATGGCCACACCGCAATTTTTTTTCCTTCATACACTCGGGATTTTGGGCATGCATGCACATGTGCCCAGCATGAGTTTCAAGCTGCCAGGTCTGGTTCTTGAACTGCAGTTGACTGCATGAGAGTCAAGTGACATAATCATTACACCATCTGCTGGTCCCTTTTGGTGTTTCTTTTAGCTAAAGGAGATGGTCTCAGAGCAGATAAGTTTTGCTTTACACCCCTTTTCTTCTATTGGGAATTACATGGTGGCAAACCCATTTTTACTCTATAACCCAGCAGACCATAAAATAGATTGTGTAAGAGGTGGAATCAAATTTTCAAACACTGTCTTCAGTGGACACATGGTATCTTTCTGTAATGACAGTACCTAAATACTTTCATTCATTCAAAAAAATTGTCAGATTTAGAGTAAATACTGAGATTTAGCAGTGTGAAAAATGGGCACAATCGTAGTGGTTGTGGAGCCTATGTTTTGAGTGGGGAAATGCCAAGAAACAGGTATCATTTCAGATATTAAGAAACACTAAGGAGAGCACGTATGGGACAATGAGTCAAAGAGTGAGGGATGAGGCTACTTCCTGCTTAAGGAGGTCTGGAAGGCCCCCTTAGGGAGGTGGCAAGTGAGCTGAGCTCTGATGCTTCCAAGAAGAACAGATCTGAGAGGACAACTGCCTGGGCCCTGGCACAGCAGGTCCAAGGTGTGAGCAGCAAGTAGCACTGTGTGTTCCAGGGTGGCTGGGCTATGGTGGAAGAGGGTGGGGGCGATGAA